CGTCACTTATTTGATGCTAACAACGTGAACGACTATAGGGGCCTGTGAAGGCGGGTCCTAAATCATATGCATGGAAAAATATACCCAAATCTGCGGTTAGTTTCTAAGAAGCAGTTTAAAATAAGATTCGTATGCTCTTTGGTCACTGTACAGTTATTGACGAAATAAACGCTTTAAAATTCAGCAAAAACACAGTTTTTTGGTTATTGCCAAGAACTAATCAAACAAAAGTTTGTTTCACGACGAAAGAGAGTTTGGATTTCTGATAAGACAGAGTTTTGAATCTCGTAGAGGATAGATTTAATGGAGTCGACGAAATCTTAACAATATGCTTTAAAGACGTTTTTTTTTAAATGTTAAACGACCAACCTATCCAAATTCGTCGAGGTTAGAGGGGAAGCAGCGGAAGAAGATTAGCGGAGCCAAGATGGTAGACTGAGAAGGCACAAGACCTAGTAAGAAATGTCTTTCACAACATTCTCATAACACGACATCATAATTTCAAATTATAGATCGACACATTAATAGCTAGGTGACTGAAATGTTAACAAATCCATACCAGCAAGTGTCAGAAGATGAGCGTATTGACGATGCGCGTTTATGCGAATGACAGTAAACGGCGACCAATATCTCTCTTATATACAAGTCAAAATATATGCAAATTTTGGTCCCGTATAGGCGCACAAATAATCGGTCGGCCCCGTTCAACACATACGTGCCAAAATAGCGGGACAGTGAACGAGAATGCAAGTCATAAAATCACATGCAATGTTATGGTAATACAAGAGACATAGACAATGAAATTGTTGGCGATATGTTATGACGAGGGTAGTGTCGTGTCGAGGATTTGGCGAATGCGAAATGAGAGATCGAAGGGGTTATGACAATGTCGATTTCAGCCTTTGATTTCGATCAACGTGTTTTCTTTATCGATAACGTGGACGCACGTGCTACACTCGTGCTGACGAAATGCTAGAACCGGGTTCAGGTCGTTTGAATTAGTGATTGAACGGATTGCACTTGACCAAAAAATGGAGATGAAGATATACGGGAGAGGATTCTGTGAACAGGAGGATCGTAAAGGTCAAATTTGGAGCAAGTATTGCCTGGAAATCCCGGCACTTCTAGATGTTATAGCTGGGTGAACTTTAAACCAGTAAAATTCTTCTTTAACGCAAAAAAAAAACACTTTCTGTTAAGCATTGCATTTTAATAAGGGCTCTAGCAATCAAACAGATATCCTCAACAACAAGTTTTCTAAGCAAAGCATGTTCCAAAATTGGACCACTTTGCTCTTAGTTAAAAACGAAAACAATGGATTAAGGCACATCAAGACAAGTCAGAACAACAAGATGAAGAAATATTTAATGTGGGAAGTGTTCTAATCCACCGAAGCAGGACAATCTAATGACAAAGAAAGTGTTCGCCAAATCAGAGTCGATGTCAGCTGATTTCTGACATCTGCGCGACAAAAGAGTGCCAACCACTAGTACGTCACATTACAACGATCTAGAGCTATTGCGTAAACCAGAACAAAATATCTAACTGCCTTCTCTTTTATAAGGATCGAAAGAGTAAAAGTAGAGTTATGTGAAAACAAACTATAAAAAGTAAGCATTCACCAATGTAAACAAGTTTCAAAATTGTAAAGGATGACATTATGTTTGAAAACAGGATATCAACTTTACACTGGGCTCGAAATATCATATTTCAGAAAGTGTTTTCCATGACAGATTAGTGACGCATTAATTTCGAAATTTCAGCAGATGTCTGAAAACTTCTACATGTAACCAATCAATGAGTGGTATCATTTATAGCAAGTTGTGAGAATTTTGTAAATTTTGAGCTGGCCTAGTGCCCCATGTACAACTTCAATCTGATTCATCTGCACATAATTGTCCAAAAAAGGCTCCCATTCTTGATTGTGATTATAGAAATTTGTGGTAAAGAAAACGCATCTATGACTATCTTTTAAGAACGTTGAAGTCGAGATATAGCCGTGGCAATGTTGGAAGGAAAAAGATTGGGTGTTATGAAAGAAGAAAATGTAGTTATAGAAAACATTTTAAGCCTAGAATGATCAAAAAAAAAATGCAAAGCGAAACAAGGAGCTGTCATCCAAGAACAGAACCAGATAGAACTCCATACAATGTCAGAGCAATGAGAAATAATGTTAAATATGTCAAATGCGTGGTTCACATGCTTTCCTTATTTGGAGATGGTAGCTATTTGCTGAAGTGAAGTACGTTAGATTCCGCCAAAGGTCATTGAGCAGCATGATAAGGCTTAAGGTTAATGTGGAGTGATAAATATGGTAATGACCCTGAATCAGGATATTATGGCGAGCGTACATTAGGACTAGGCCTAATCAACACTTTTAATTATGGATTTTCTGACAATAGGAATCCATGTGAACTCCGTACCAAAAGATAACAGTCTTTTGAGGTATTACAACGCTTTCAATTTCTAACCAAGGTGAACAATTTCTATGTCAGGAACTTGTTCAAACAGTTCGAAAATCAGGGCCAATATGCAAACTTTGACTGGGTTCTTCGTGATACACTAATGGTCACCAAATTGGTAGAAGTGGTATTT